ATATCAGATGACCCGAGGACAGTTCTATTCACAGACAATTGCAGATACAATAGTAGCATTTTTCCAAATATAGATTAAAATCTTCAGTCATCATCGATAGAGATTGCTAATTCGAATCCTTTAATATTTGACACATTTACTAATTACTCAGAGGTGCAAATAAAATTCAAACGCTTATTACTCCTTAAACCCCCTCTTAATCAAATAATATAATAAAATGATATCTATATTCTTTCCGCTGTAAAATAAACGAAATTCATTCAAGAATAAAAAAGTCCTCCTAACTATTCTACTTAATTTAAAAACAAATTAAAGAAAATATAAAAACCCCCATCAACTAAACTTGTATTGGTACATTTTTTTCTCGGAGAATATTTCCTTTCTAAAGGAATCAACTAGATGTCCACAAATGTTCGTTGTAAAGAACCGACTACATGAAAATTATTCATCTAGTATAACGCATTACAGTAAAATCAAACCATTTATTTAAGAATTTAGAAAATAGCTGACAAACTATGAAGATCTCTAAATCAGTTATAAGGCTCATTTCATAAGTCATTAAAATAATAATCGTTTTGTTTATAGAATTAATTTCAAAAAGCTAGAATATTAGTATCAACTCAGTTTTTCTAAACCCAATTATTCAATTGGAGTTAGGACTCAGAAAAAAAAGTTCATTTCTTGTTTGGTCGACAATACTGAGCAGGGAGATTCATTTTTGAATGTAGATTTTGAATGTAGATAAGAGCGAGCGCACATACACATGTACATATTTTTAGTTGAGTTATATTTCAGTGTATATCGGAGAATTTGAATGAAATCTATTCATTTTTTATCAGTTCTGTCTATATATTGTGATATAAATCGAAATCTATTACAATCTCTCATTATTTTTATCGTGGCTGACATAGTTATTTTGCTGCGAATTATTTTAATATATTATTTGAAAGTCAATAATATCTACTTGGTATAATATCTATCATTTTAAATTTAAATGTATTTATAAAATACATATATCAAATTTAAAATGATAGATACACAAATATAAACATAATTTATTTTCTCTCTTTGACAAACAACCTTTAGTGAATAATAACACAGGCCTGCGAAATTTTAAGTTTGGTTAGTTACAAAAAGCAGAGTAAATGAATCTGATAGATTTTTTGACGCCCAAAACGAATATGACCGCAGAATTTCTTTAGTACGTCAGATTTTTGAGTAATTTGTGATTAAATAATTCAAAAATGACTATTTCAGCAAATTTCATGAATTTATTATGAGAGAACCTAATTTTTTGAAATATTTTTACCAATTTTTGACATCGTAGAGTACTAGTCTTCACCTTTCAAATCCATTTTTGATTGCTGCTTCACGATTTTTTTTCACTGAGATATACAGATATGAGTTATAAAATTGTTATGAATCCAATAAGCCATTCCAAATCAACCGTGTTACCTCTTCGTTTTATCATGAATTAAAATTTTGGTAAAAACAAATTTTTGAGCACCACATGTCATTTTTTGAAATTAAAAATGGCACATCCAAATATGGTAGACAAAATCACAATAAAAAGGTATAAAATTTATCAAAATATGCAATTGTACCAGATATATTTTTACAGAACTTTTTTCGACAACCGAATCTGATATATGTAAGCCTTTTCAAATTTCAAAACGATGGATCTGCCATATTGATGTTTATGTAACTTTTCTTTAACGTAAATTTTCTTATAACTTCATACTTGTATATCTCAGCGAAAAAAAATCGTACAGCGGTAATCGAAAATGGATTTGAAAGATGAAGACTTGTACTAAACGATGCCATTGGCAGAAATATTTGAAAAAAATTAGGTTCTTCCATAATAAATTTATGAAATTTGCCCAAATTGCCATTTTTGGACTATTTAACTATAAATTACTCGAGAACGTGTTAGGAAAATTCTGCGGCCAGATTCGTTATCAGCATCAAAAAATCTATCAGATTCGCCTACTCTGCTTTTTGTAACTGATCCTCGCAGGCCTGTGTAATTTAACAATTTTCTAAATGAATTTTTCAGTTATTTTTAGTATTTATTTATACAAAATTAACAAAATTTTACAATTTTACCACAATATTAGTATCTACATTCTGACATTTCATTATTCTCAATAGGTCAATTTCTATCTCTATTAACCTGGCAATTTACTACGAAAAATCGATTTCGTGCATAATTAAGTGTTAATTAGTTATTATAAGCGTGAATTTGTTGCTCCAACTCATTAGTAAGAAAATTATATTAAAGGTAAAGATGTTAGCTTATTAAGCTAACACCCCCCCACTTCCGAAAAACAGAGAATCGCAAATCAAAAAATATACTAGAATTTCTTGTTAATTAGTTGCTCAAAGATACTGTAAATAGATTTTGAAAATATTAAAAGTACACCAAGTACAAAAGTATATGACATACTATACACAAGTAAAAGTAAAATCATTAAAAATAAATAGCTAACAATATCAATTCGTTATAAAATTGTTTCTTGCATTAAAAAAAATAATTCCGAAAAAATCATTTCCTAATTTATTGCTTATAATTTAATTTAAAAAATCAACCTCAAATCAAACGAGGTGATGCTAACTTGCTTACAAAAGTAAAGTATGTTAACCCAATTAATTACTTCCATTTTTTAAAATGTTTCCCTAATTTGTTGCTCTGAAAATATATAATATTGAACTTGTTGCTCAAAATTTGATTTAAAACAATCAAATGAATAATGATACGAGTAGCGAGCTATTAGATTGGGGAGAAAGTAATCCGGATTTTTTCGTGCAAAATATATATTAAAAAAATGATTACATTTTTCAATTAAAATAATTGCCATTTGACTCTACTATCTTTTGTCATCTTTTAGGCAAAAGTTGAATATTGATAAAAGACCAGCTCTTTGGAAAGAATTCTTCGACTTATTCCTCGATTTCAGTGACATTTTGAAGCGTTATCCAAACCGTGCTATATCGATCAAAACAGATAATAATTTGAAGATGACCCATCTAATGAATGAACAGGATACAGAAGGATTTCCTAATCCAAGTCAATTAAGGTGTTTACGATTATTGTAGCAATATAAAATTGGATGTTGTTTTTAGAATGGATTTAAGTCGGTTGAGACGTAACGACACGAATTATCGAATAATGAGAATCACAGTGGTGATTGTTTAATGTTGATTATACCGAATCTTCTTTCAATGCCTTCTTCTGTTTTCATCTTCATTGATCGTTCACGACGCGATTTATCTTTGAGGATAAAATTTCCTTTTGAAGTGTCTAAACTATCTTTTATATATACAGGGTGTATCTGAAATGATGCACTAAACTTTAGGAGCGTATTCTAGACGTCAAATTAAGACTTTTTTTTTCTCATGAACATGGGTCCGCAAATGAACCCCTCTCCGAGCTAAAATTTGAAAATGTGTGAAATTGACCAAACACCCGCAACGCAAATTTATTTATTTCTCAAGAAAGAGTGATAGATAACGTCAAAATCTTTTTTTTTTTAAATACAGCCAGACAATGATAAATATGCATTTTATCTAGCATCTTTTGTTAAATCGAAATACACATACATATATGACAGACAAAAAGGCTTGTTTGCAATAATTTTAATATAGGATAAACAACTTCAAAAAAAACAAAACAAAAGTTATTAACAAAAATTATTATAGTATGTTATATTGCCATTTGTCCGTGATCCGAATTACTTTCTCCTCAACCTGACTTATTGTTTTTAGAATATATAATATCGAATTTATTGCTCAATATTAGACTTAGAAAAACCTGATACGTTAAATCGATTTTTCTAAGTTAAATTATTCACGTTGAACAAATTAGAGAAACATTTTAAAATGAAAATAATAGCAGCAACTAATTGGATTAATATATTTTATTTTTCTAAGCAAACTAATACCATCTCTCGTTGAGGTTGACCTTTTTAATTAAATTATGAGCAATAAATTAGGAAATTAAGTTTATTTTGGAAGTATTTAATGTAGGAAGCAATTTTATAACGAACTGATATTGTTAGCTATTTATTTTTAATGATTTTATTTTTATATGTATATAATATTATATATCATATTGATGTGCTTTTAAAGTAGCATAAAATTTAAATTTTGAAAATTTAAAAAAATCAATATTTTAAAAATCTATTTGCATTTTCTTTGAACAACTAATTAGTAACAAATTCTAATATATTCGCTTTTTAATTTGCGATTCTTTATAAGTGTTTTTTGGAAGCGGGTATGTTAGCTTAATAAGTACCTCTACCTTTAACATAATTTTTCTGTTAATGGATTGGAGCGATAAATTAGCACTTAATTATGCAATATATTTAAACTCAATTTTTCGTGATGAGAGGGCCAGATTAATAAGGGTCAAATTTCTCTAATCAATTATTAAACTAAAAATATAATTGTGCCTTTTTACAATATAATAACTAATTTTATAGTTTATTAAGAACAATCAACAAAATTTAAATTTTATGCTACTTTTAAAATGGCGATGAATCATGTGACTTGAGACAACTCAATGTCAGTATACAGGATGGGGCAATAACTATTATCATCTTAAATATCTTCGAATCTGTAAGGTGTAGAGGAAAATGTTTCAAACCAACATTGTACGGTATAAAAAGCGCTACCATATAGCGATAAGTATATTTATCCAGATGAAGGCGCTTCGGAGATATCAAGATCATCTTTATTTTTTTTAATGGTATGCTATACTTTTTTATCCTTAGTTCGATCATTAAAAAAAATAAAGATGACCTTGATATCTCCGAAGCACTTCCACCTGAACAAACATACTTATCGCCATATGATAGCCCCCTTCATACTGTACAAATTTGATTTGAAACATTTTCCTCTATACCTTATAGATTCAAAGATATTTAAGGTGATAATAATAGTTATTGTCCCACTCTATATACTTATACTGTGCTTTTAAAAATGACTATCAAAATACTCACCGTTCAGATAAAAGTGACTATTGATGCCGTAAAGATTGGTTATGATAGGTTTAATATTATCAAAAGTCATGGTCTTCAAATTATTTATCCTCAAATCCAAGAAGTAAATACCAGGTGCACCAACCAGGAAATCTTGCGGCAACTTGACTAGCAGATTCTCGCTGAGCCGCAGCTTTTGAAGATTGTGCATACCATCGAATGCTTTTTCAGATATATATGTAATTGCGTTATGACCAAGTTCAAGCTCGATTAGCTCCGGCATTTCGGCAAAGCTCCGTCTTCCAATCATGGAGATCTCATTGTTGCTGAGGCCGAGACATTGCAGATTGCGCAAACCATAGAAAGTTTCATGCGTAATGCTCGTGATTTGATTGTTGTTTAGCTCAAGCTCTTGAAGTGAATTCAAATGCTTAAATGCTTTATCGTGCACGATGCTAATATTGTTATGGTTTAGAGACAGCTTACGCAGGTTCGGCAAATTCACAAACGTGTCTCTGTAACAATAATTTAAATTGTTGTATATGTATGCAATTACACACACATTTTCTAAAACGCACATTTTTTAAGATATTAAATCATTCCGAAACTTCTCACTGTGTGTGCGTGTAAAAATATGTTATAAAAATTGTTGTTTGTATACAATGGATGTTAAAAATTGTTGTTTGTGTACATGTATACGCGCGCGCATACATTATATATTTTGTATATAAAATGTATACTTATAAAAAATATATTAGTTTTATTATATTTAGTTTTATTTTACATACTATGTTGCAATATTTTTTTAAGGATGTTTTTTGTACATATTTTCAAAATATTGAGAATTTAATGGAAATTGTACAGAATGTCCTTACATATGTTTATAATCTTTAGTGCAATTTTTAAATCGATTCACTAAAGCGTTCACAAGTTATAAGGATTTTAATTTGCACCGAATTAATATGTGTTCTTATGGGAAACGTATAACATCGATTCAAATAACAACAACACATGCAAATAATATTCAGAATTTGCTTAAAATTTGCACAAGTTTAGATACAGAGAAAATATTTGGTCAAATAATATAATATTATACATATAATAATATACAAGTACTAACTGATTAAAAAGATATTAAATATAATTCAATATGAAGATAGCCATGTATCTGTCACAAGGCGAAATTCTCTGCCAAAAGTTAATCATTTGGATTAACAAAATTCGGAAAATTTCAGTTAAAACGCAATAAATATTAAAAAATACATCTCTGCACTGTAGCTTAGATAAAATTGTAATATTCCACACAATTTTTTACTCAAAATACACCAAAAGTGGATATTCGTCAATATTAATGTTCAGCTACTTTTTGCTGGGATTGTACATACAAAACATCCTTAAGTCATTACTTTATTTATATATTATCCTGTATGCGTATTATTTATATATTATCCTGTAAGAATGTGTATAATTTATCATATCTTAAAAATACTCTCTATATCATTTAGATTTCAATGCTGTAATTTTTAAATAAGAGAAAATAACGGGATAAAAGAAAATAAAAATATGTATAACATAATGATACCAATGATAAAATTAATAAACAGTACGAATAATAAATAAATATTTGTCTGAATAACAAAATAAAAATTGATCTAAATAATGGCTATATATATCTGCTACATAAACTAAATTTCGATTTTTTATGGCCAGCCTCTCTAATGACTTGAACTTTGACATGTGTTATGTATGTGTGTTTGTGTCTGTGTGTATAATCATAAGTAAAATTTTATCTTTTCTTTAAATGACTTTAGCTTGTGATTTATTAAAGAGTTATTAACGAATAAAAATTCATACAAAGGGAAATTCAAACGTAAACTAATAATGCAAAATTTCATATTGAACTTATTCCATTGAAATTGCTACATATATATAAACGGATACACAAGTTTTATACAAATTGTTCAGTAATCTTAAGAATTGAAAATAAAAAATAAATACATAAAGAAGAAAGAAATTTCACAAAAATTTACAACTTTCTACGAAAAATTAGATTTGTTTTGTTACCGATGTTTTTTATATAAAATAAGGTTTATAATTTTACAACTTTCTATAGGTTGAGTAAAGTTTACTTCACACTCTTAGTGTGAAACAAAGTCTATAATCGTAAGTCTGTAATCATAAGACTCCACATTTGCAACTTTTAATACAAAGTAAAGCAAATGTAGACAAAAGTAGACCTCTAATATAGCAAAAAGTTACAAATACTAAATATTAGAAAGTTACAAACTTATGTGGGGCTGTATAATTATAGCTTTATTTTGAAAGCAGCGAGGAATAAGTGGATTTCGTTTTGAAAATGTACATAGAATTATATAATTATATAATTATAAACTTCACACCAAAAATATCAAAGAACCGGAATAGATTTTGCAAATTCACGCGAGCAAATTTATGTGAGGTTCTTTTTTATCTATACAATCTTCTCAATTTTTGAAATTTTCGTACATCCAGTAAAAAAGGCTCTAAATAAATATAATAAACAAAGAACGGCTTATGAAGTTATTCAAAGTCATGATTTTGATGAAATACGTCACGTAAAATCGTTAGAATTGACTTTGTCAATCCAACTATTTACTCTAAATAATTACTTATGTTAATAATTTTATTGATTAATTATTAACTGTCAACTATTCATACCTATTAATCTCGGAAATGCGATTTTCATCGAGATCGATGGCGGTAAGATTCCGCATGTTCTCGAAGGCGTTTTTGTGTAGCGTGATGATCATGTTGCGATTGAGATTGAGCTTGACGATACCGTTAAGATTACTAAAAGTGTGCTCGACGATCTCATGAAATTTTGCATACTGGATTGCAACGGTGTGCAAATTCTTCAATTGACGCAGCAGTTCAATAGGCACATGGTCGAGACTGTCGGTCAAGCGCACCGCAAACGTCAGTTCTTCCAGATGGATCTGTGACGTAAAGTAATTCCACATGGGATCGTTACGTTCGAGTTTACTCATCACCCAACAATTGGCAGTTGTAGCATTTTGTAGATCATTATTGTTGCAGTAGCAGTACATCGGCGCCTGCTGAACCTGAATGTCACAGATATTTATCTGTTTTATCTCTTTTGTCTCTTTGGCAATGATCTTTTTTTTGCCGCGTAATTGCCTCGTCACTGCCTGACTTGACAATGCAAGTAAAATTGTCAGCATTAACTGAAGAATGATAGAAGTATAGAGAAATTGGCGCATTATGATTCTGAAACAAAAAATGAAAAGTTTTGCTTGTGAATATTATGCTAAACTGTAATTTATTAATTACACAGGCCTGCGAGGTTTTTTTTTAAGATGCAATAGTGATTTCCGAAGTAATTTTGTGAGCTGAATTCGAATCTGACCGCCGAATTTGCGTAGCACGTCACGTTTTTGAGTAATTTGTAATTGAATGACTCAAAAATCGCTCTTTTGGCCAATTTCATGAATTTATTGCGAGGAAACCAAATTTTTTGAAATATTTCTTCCAATGACATCGTATAATACTCACTTTTACCTTTCAAATCCACTTTCAATTAGCGCTGCATGATTTTTTTTCGCTGAGATATATAAGTATGACGTTGTAAGAAAATTTACGTTAAAGAAAATTTATATAGGCATCAATATGGTAGATCCATGATCTTGAAATTTGAAAAGACTGACATATGTCAGATTCGGTTGGCCAAAAAAATATTGTAAAGAAATGTCTAATACAGTTGTTACACATTTTGATAAATTTTTCTAAATTTTATGCCTTTTTATTGTGTGTTCTATTCGCCATATTGAATGCGCCATTTTTAATTTTAAAAGGTGACAGAAGATATTTAAAAATGTATATTTTTACCCTAATTTTGATTCGTAGTGAGACAGAGAAGTGGCACGCTTGATTTAGAATGGCTTATTAAATTCCTATGCATAATTAGTCTTATAACTTGTATATCTGAGCGAAAAAAAATCGTCCGGCGGTAATCGAAAGTGGATTCGAAAGATGAAAGTGAGTACTATACGATGCCATTGACAGAAATATTTCAAAAAATTTGGTTTACTCACAATAAATTCATGAAATTGACCAAAATAGCCATTTTTGGGCTATTCAACTACAAATAACTCAAAAACCTGACGTGCTACGCAAATTCGGCGGCCAGATTAAGATTCAGCGCATAAAATTACGTTAAAAATTACTATTGCATCTTAAAAAGAAATTTTGACTCCCTTTTTTGCAGGCCTGTGTTATTATATTAGAGATTATATTAGAAGATTTAAATTATAATATTTATTACTAACTGTTGTTTAATTTCTCAGATATAAAATAGTTTGCAATAACTCGTTATATAAAGTTTCATTGTACATTTTTCTCTATTTGTAACAGATTTTCTCTAAATATAATAATATATGCATTTCTTCATCGCTATTAATTTCCCGAACAGATTTAAGTGCGAATAATGAACGACCGATTACTGTCAAAGCAGCAAAACGACTCGTTAAGGATTGATTTCCGCGTTATTCATATTAAAGTCGATATAACGTGCCAATCTTCGATTTTATATCATAGAAAGTTTGCTCGACAGCTTCATTACAAGCACGTCGATACGTAATGGCATATTATTTCCCCATTACAAAAATGCTCTTTAGAGAGAAATATTTTTTATTCTCATTCATATGTAAAAAAAGACATGGATCCATTGCTGCATCAATAGATGACATTTTAATGTAAATAAAAGTTACCTTATAATCGAATATTGTGTTTTCTCTAATAAATATATAATCGTATATCCATGAAAGGACTTTAATACACATACATCTCAATTCTTTAGAAATTGAAAATAATGAATAATCAATTCAATCTTTTCCATTTTAATTTTTTGCATACTATACATCACTATAATGACTTTCCTTTAAGCGGTTGTTGGAGGGCGAATCACTATTATAAATATTTATTTATTTTTATTTATTGAATTATGTTTACCAAGAAAATTTGTACAAAAGTATCTGTAAATCTGTACAAAATACTACACTTAAGTTTCGAATAGAATCAGTTATCAAAAAAGAAAAATCTGGAAAATAATTACATACATATAAATACATTTTTTTTTTATTCAAGTAAATCACGTGGCATCCAATAGTTTCGCCAAGTATATAAAAATTTCTTTCTGGAGTAACAAGAAAGAGAAATGACATTGAGCAGTTAGGTTATTGTATTTAAGCACTGATTTAGTGCTTAACAACAACCAAGTGGAGTTATTATGAATATTGTAGTATATTTAGACATCATCAAAAGGTAATAAATATTATAAAACTTTGAATCTGCTTTAACATATTATCTTGTATATTGATAAATAAAATCAGTTATCATTTTATAGAAAGTCAAGAAGAGAGAGGAATGAGATTTTTCCCATCTTTAAGTGATAATAAAAATAAAGAACAATAAAAAGTATCAAGAGGACATATTGAAGATATTTATATCTGCTGGTCACCAGTCTCTAAAGGCCACCACACCAGCTTTTCTGTAACATATTATATTTAATATTGACCATAAACTTTAACTCAAATATAACTTTAAACTATAGTCAACGCATAAAGTTTATACATTGCGTCATGTTTTTTGTTACATTACTATTTCCTTTGTACATTGACTAAAGTTTAACATTACATATGAATCTAGTTTGCACTTAATGTAACATGGAAAAGCTTAGCTTAGGTTGAAGTTTTGAATGTTCCTGGGGCGATTTTTAGAAAGTACATATAAATAACAAAATACATCATATACTGGGTGTTAAAAAAGTCTGGACACGTTCGAATATCTCGAAGGAAGAGTTTTACTAGAAAGTGTTTCAGACAAAAGTTATATGGGTTCAAGTGGGACATAACATGGTACCATTGGTTTGACTTTGAAGAGTTATTTGAAGGTCACATGAAGGTTACCTTCAATTTCTTAAATGGAACTTATTCTTTCTCATTACATATTCTTGTAACTTATCTCAAGAGCTTTCCAAAACATTATAATAAAGTATTTTTTCATTGAGTATTTTTCGAGTTATGGGGCTTAAAGTAATATCTTAATTTTATATAAACCATAAAATATCTAGTAAAACATTCATTTTTTAATTATTTTACTTTAATACTTTTATGTATAAAATAATGAGAGGAATCGATTGGTGTAAAGAAAACACATAATTGTTTCGAAGAAAAAATATGTAATTTGCAATTAACAATTACATATTTTTTCTTAAAAACAACTATGTGAATTGTTTCAAAGGAAAAATATGTAATTTACAATTAACAATTACATATTTTTTTCTTGCTAAAAATAACTATGTGTTTTCTTTACACCACTTGATTCCTCTCATTATTTTGTACGTAAACGTATTAAGGTAAGATAATCGAAAAATGAATATATTTTACTAGATATTTTATGGTTTATTCAAAATTAAGAAATAATTTCGAGCCTCATAACTCGAAAAATACTCAATGAAGAAATACTTTATTATAGTTTTGGAAAGCTCTCGAGATAAGCTACACGAATATGTAATAAAAAATAGGAAATTCTATTTAAGAAATTGAAGGTGACCTTTACGTAACCTTCAAATGACTCTCCAAGGTCAAATCATTGCCACTATCTGATGGCCCCCTTCAAGCCATACAATTTTTGTCTGAAACATTTCTTTCTAAAGTGCATAGTTTATGAAATATTCGATCGGTCCGGGACTTTTGGGACATCCTGTGTATATATATATATATGTATATATATATATATATATATGTATATGTACATATAGATTGAAATTATTTGCTTTAATCCAAGAATTAAAATAATAAAAGAAATCATGTAAGAATCATCATCAATGTTATCCCGTGCAAAATGTTTAGATTATCTGCACATAGCGGAAACTTACATATTTAAAGATATCTTTAATAGCATTAATAAAGGCCGGACTCAAGGGTAAACTTTGAAATACACTTTAGATAATATTTGGGGTTCTGAAAAAGCAATTTTTTAATTCAACAATTTGTAATAAAACTTGAAATCCATTTCAAATCAGCTTTGCCGATAATTGCCAAATGTACATGTATAATGTATTTAACAACAGAGTATGATCAGCACTGGTAAAAATTTTTTTGAAGTGGTAATATCGATTTGGAAGCTTTCTTTGGTAAATGTATTCATAAAATTAAGATATGTATAACATACAAATAATTACTTAAAAATGAATGACTATTGATACACACACACACACACACACACACACACATACACACACACACACACACACACAATCATTCTGTTTATTAATTATTATAATCATGCTATTCATCAATTACTATATTTTTAAATAATGATAATGATTCGCAATAATATTTTCAGCAATAATATTTTCAAATATTTTTGACACTAGAGTTTACTTACGAGTTACGTCTAAAGTTAAAAACTAACTTCTTACTATCTTTAAATATAAAAGTTATTATAACAATTTCCTCAAGTTCGAAAAAGCATCACATGATAAATGTGAGATATGTTGTAAATTATATATCAAATTGCAGATATGATTAGAGAGGAAATATGCTAACGTGTTTCGCTCTTTCGAGATACTCGATTTACAACATATTCTATTTACATAATAATAATATAGTGCGATGATACAAGGATATGCAATAAGCTTGTACGTACCTTTAGATACATAGTCGGTGTAATATAATATGTCGAAAATTGTGTGTATATGATTGTACATATTGTTTTACGCATACATATATATATGCATTCTCCCCCCCCCCTCTTTCTCTCTCATTCTCTTTCTCTTTTTCTCTCGCTGTGTATGTTGTATTAATTCTACTAGACTTATTTAATAACTTATTCTTAGATTTATACGATAAAAATGTTTTTATTATTATTCCACGTTTTAAATAAATATTTTATATATCAATACAATTAGCGCTATACAATTTATTATTAGATGGATTACCAGTGTTTACTGTAGATAATTTCAAAATTATCTAGATAAAGATAAAGATAAAAATCCGTAAATTTATCTTAGATGAGATAAAGATGATTTTGCTTTTACTTAATCTAGATGAAAGATGAGATGATTATTGCGATAATCTAGATAATTATCCAGATATTTTTGTTTATTTTATAAGACTATAAATATTTGTAAAAAATGTGACACAGATTATCCATAAATGGGATATTAAAATCATAAACACATATTCTTTCTCTTTTCCTAAAGAATA